CGGGAGTTTCCTTATTATGGGTCTATTTCAATGTTAGGCGAGTTAGAATAATTCATCATTATTTTTGGCTTCTCATAATGCTTTTTACGCCCACCGATTATATGGACGTTGACCGCTCCGGGCGATTTCCCATACGGGCAACACCATGGGCCTGGGTTAGGCTTTTGCTCGCGTTTATTAAAATGCACCATGGTAGCCCCTCACCCTTAAGTCACGACGATGGCTCCTATAACGAAATTACTGTGATTAGCTGGCACGGGACCCTCCTACGCTAACCACTGTTTCTGACTTGGCCTAATTTCGTCTTCTTTTATTTTTCACAATTAAAGCGACTATTTGCACCCTTTGTCCGTGTATCCTGGTAACGTACAAAAGATTCGAATTTCAAATCTTATTTTTTGGGTTTTTTTTTTCATGGGACAATACAAAGAAAATCTTTATTTTTTTTTTTTGACAATTTTCTACGTTCTCACGAAGCAGCATCCTGCCGTGTACCATTTTCCTTGTGGTTCTTTGGGTTTTTTTTTTTTCAATTTTGAAACAACCAACACGGCCACTCTTTTCGTAGAGACTATACCAGCTACGCGTCCTAGTCACGTCTACCTGCTGGAGCACCCAGCGAGCCCTTTTGTGTTAAGCTATAAACACGATAACTTCGCGACGCGAGGCTCCGTTCCAAGCAAGGGGCCCGAATCTCCGAGAAAACCCCAGCGAATTCCAAGAACTCAGGGCAGACCCCTCTTTGTCCATATCCCCGGGAGATCCCATAAAGATATACAGAAGGAGGGACCAGTTTTTGGTCGGTCACCAGTCGCTGTTTATTATGGTGGTGCCTGTGCTCCTTTTCACCAAATCTCCAAAGAGGCACGAAGATGCCAGATGTGGAATTGGGTATTGACCATTGGACATGGACGGAGGATGATGGTCCTGGTTGCCTGCCTTTGTGGCTTTTAGAAGTTGCCATATACACCTTCTGCAGTCCTTAGTTTGTATGTCATCTAGAAATAGGAACTGGGATACTTGACAGACATTGGTCTCGCGTTTCGTACTACTGGACAGTTTTAGGTCAAGTTTACACAAGTGTACACTGGTTCCTAACCGTAGGGAAATCTTTGGTTATGCGCCTAGTAACATAATACGACAAAGAGTAATGGATACACAAAAGTATTTTTGAAATTTTTAAATTTTCCTCATAGTTTGATACATTTTTAAAAACAGATCAAATCTTTTGAACGGACCAAGAGTTTCACTTGTTTCGAGTCCTTTCCCACTCGTCGATCCCGTTTGGTCTTGATGGGACTAGACCAAAATGGCAAAATTTCAAGGATTTACTTTACTCAAGTTTTTCACCTGGCTCACAACCGGTTTCCCCTAGTTTTTATCTCTTGGCATAAGTTTTCGGGAAAGTGACGCAGGGTGACGTGGAAATAGAGATTCTCGAGAGAAAAGGAAGCCTTGGCTGCCGAGCTAAAAGTGAAAGAAAGGGGAAATAATAAAGAAGGACAAACCTAGGGTGGGAGGAGAGTCATCTGAGAAAGAGGAGAGAGGACTCCGAACCGGGCGTACCTGTTAAGACCTGTTCCGACTTGCAGGTGCATTGTTGGACCTAGACCGGGTCCAGGCTTGTGGAAGAAAATAATGCATGGGGACGACCAAAAAGGACAAAGGAAGGCGGATACGTCTTTTGTCCCGTTGAAAATTATTTTGCTAAAATTTTGAGACAGCCTCCAGCCAGAGAAGAGTGGCTATCGCGTCGAGATGAAGTTCGCCACAAATATACATAAAACGTTTTTTTATCTCGCACAATTATTTGTTACGTAACATTTTTCAATTTTATAAAATATCTTTCGACCCTGATATCACTCAAAATATTTAATTATAGTCCAGAAAAAAAATTATTTTTTTTTATATTAACGTCTTTTCATCCATATTGACAAATTTTTGTCTTCCTTTTCAAAATTTCATTTTTGGACACACTTGTCACGCAGCAGTAGGAACTCGTGGCTAGGCTGATGACGAAATCAAGCCTGGTCGAGCCACTTTGAAAATAAAAAGCTTGAAAAAGACTCGCTCGTCAGGCAGCCTGAGCACCGGCAAGAATATGGTCGTTCGAAAAAGACGGAAAAAAAGCTCTCACCGTCTGTCTGGCGTCTGTCTGTCTGGCGACTGTCTGTCTGTCCGTCGATCGTCGAAGAAGAAGCACTTCTGCAATCGTAATTAACAGACTCTCAAAGTCCGAACCGGTAACCGACATAGACACGATCATAAAACAGCAAGATGAACCATGGAAAACGTAGCGATACTATTTTAAAAATTTCATACGAATTTCTTAGCAACTTTCACAAGGATAAAATAATCTTCCGTGTCTATATTCTGATAAAATCACCTCTCTGCAATTTCGCAATCGTACTGACCTCACGGCCAAATTGAATATTTTGCTTGAAATTGCACTTTAGCATATAGCAAAAATATTGAAATCAAAGATAAGATGCAAAGAAGCCCAAAGACAAGAAAGCATAACACCAAGGAATCTCATTGCAAATTCATGTCTCCGGAACCGAATGACTCATTTGACACATTTATAGTTTACATTCGTGCTAACTCCACCTATCCAGTGGTACCTACATCTCGTGAAACACCTATAGGAAGTTATTCTAAAGAGGGCTTCGTTTGGAACCTGTTTTATCCACGAAGGAAGAAAAAGTATGATGATTCATTTGACTTCTGACTAATCTGCCGTAATTTCTGGAATTTTTTTCCCTTTCTGTATCGATGAGTCAATCGATACCGTTTCGATATCAACAATACCAACGATATAAAATAGTCCCAATCAAGATTCCGTTAAAAATAAAATGCATAGACCGAATTTAAATACGCACGTACGAATGACATTCAAATTATTAATCGACGCGTATATCTAATCTCCGTTAAGAAACTGAGTGCTGCCCTTTGAGAGGAGAGGACGTTTTTTTTAAAAACAAAGCAAAAATATTGAAACATAGTAATGTCGAGTTATCGTATATTTACTTGCAATTTATATTTATGCCTTTGTACGTAACGTGGGAGTGGGAGGTGGCTAAATACCCATTACCAGGGGTGGGAGAAATTTCATAGACGACGCCTGAATAGTAGTCGGTTTACAATTGGCAGAAAGTGGCGTGATCTCGAATAGCCACTGGGGATTGGACGGCGATATCTTTCCAATGCATTCTGCTGGACATCCAACGACAGACTCCGCTATGACGCGGTTTTGCACGTAGTAGCTACTCAAGCAGTTCATACGCTTAGTCACTCTTGTATTTATTGACTAATGCACTTCATTTGTTCTCCGCGTAACCGCAATTGCGATTTTCAATCGGTCGACGACCAGCGTAAACTCGCCTTTATACCCGTAGCGATATTCCAAGGTGAGTCTATTGATTCCCCTTATGCAATTATCGTTAAAGTCAATTTGTTGAATTCTTTGTTTTCCTTGGCGTATCTCGTAGCACCTTCCGATAAAGGAAAATCAATGGACTTTATTAATAATTCGCTTCTCCCTCTCGGCTACCGTTAATCTTCTTCCGGCACTACGTAATAAGGAAAGTTCATTCGCACGATTAACGCAAGGAGTCACTTATCCTGACAATGCATATCACTGTCGAATGTAATACAAGGTATTTCTATATTGCGCAGTATTTACAAAACTTGATAAACCTATCAGACTCTATTGTCTTAGTGGCAAATAATTCGACGTAAATTCGGACCGGATATCTCGTGATAAAATACCCAACGTGTCGTGTATGGAAGTTTTTCACCACATCCGTTTTAATAATTTCACACTATATGCGGTTCAGCGGTGCCTTTGACATTTCATATCGTACGGATTTGCACCGTATACCATGTGGACTCGGCTTGAGCATCGCAAAGTGCTCGCATATTTATTTTCAAAGGAATCATAACAGTCGGGACAAAATCATTGAAATTTACATTTTTTATCTCGAAATTGGAATATACCTTCATTCAATTTCCCCATTGTTCGGTATTTTAAATAAAAGTATCACGGTCAAGGTCGCACGATGAAAATTATTTACCTGCATTCCAGCCATTATTTTATCAGAAATAATTAAACTGATAATTTTTTTTTCTCTTTTCAGATTACGTCCTCAACTTCCCATCGAAGAAAGATAATTTTTCTTACACCTACGTCATCGATAAGGTAAGACCACGAATTTACGTTGTTTCGAAAAAGGAAAGTAGTGTACGAACAACTGTGCCCCACTTAGCTGGACAATCAACGGGATAGTCTTAGTCAAAAATTCGAAATCTACCCCCAAGGGGTTCGTGACTAATGTGACTATTGACTGAGGACTATATCACCTTACGGAAATCACGAAATTAATGATTTCGTAATGGTGATAAGGAGTGACGGTAGATAACACTGTGTACGTATTAGGAGTCGCGTGGCATTTCGTGATCGCGTTTCCAAAGCGTGTTTTAATTACGTATCTTCAGAGACGGATATACGCACTATCATAACACGTTCATTCTCACCACATACGATCGCAGGAAGTCCGAGAGACTAGCAGTCGCTTATTAACCAATTTAATGTAGATTAATATTTTTAGCTTGGTCAGAACATCGGACGAGTAGAGTGTATGAATTTAAAAACTTTTTCATATTTTTTATAATTTTCACTTTTGAATTTCGCGCGTGCTCAATGGGTAGTGCGTATCAACGGGAACGATGACTAATATCACGTATTCCACAGTTGCCATATAATTCGTAGGCTGGTAGGGGACAAATATTAAAATTGGTAAAAAGAATTTTATATTAAAATTTTTATATAAAAAATAATTACGCACGCTGACCGTCGTATATATGTTGTTATTGGGGCTCATTCAAAATATACGTTAAAATCACGGAGTAATTTTTTCTTATTTTGTATGAGTTTTCCACGAAGCTATTTTTCATGGCGTCAGGTGTCGAAGGACGATGATAATAATCGTCCCAGTACTCGACGCTTTCCTTCTGTTGTTTTTTTGCCACGTTCATTTTGCACATTATCGCAGCGACTGCACGATAAACTGTCGCGCTTATTGTTTTCCTTATCGTTCCTTCACACGTCGCAACGTTTCGTCATCGGAAGGATCAGGCTTATTATAATGGGACGAAATAAAAGTGGTGGACACACCACAAATGGTTAACTTAGTATCAAATCTAAATCCATCCGATGACCGAATGATAAGGAATACAAGCAAGGTATGTGGATTCGTAACGTGTGATCGTAACGAGTGATAATTCCTGAATCATCAAGAGTCCATTGGCACAGTTAGCAAATGTTGATATATTTGAAAGAATTTTTTTCAAATTTCGCTTCAATGTTTTTCTACAGTCCTGAAACTGGTACACCCGGCAGAGTCTCTGTCCAACCGTATGAATTTACTGTAATTAATCCCGTAATTGTGGCAACAGTGTATACGTAGCATCGCGTTAAAACGTGTCCAAACTTGTCTCTGCTCAGTTCACGTAGTTCAACGGTATAATTATGACCGATAAGAATTGGACCCGAGGAACTTGAATTTCTTTAGTATGATAGTGAAAATTAAATTTTTCATAATTTTAATGAATTTTAACAATTTTTTAAGGCGTCTGTCCAAATTTTAATAAGTGTATACTCTATGGACACCCTGTATAAGTCGTATAGAACTTGGACAAATATGTCTACCCAGATGCATGTAGACAAGTTTGTAGGGAGATTAGCGGGTTGATAACAGTTGTATAAGTTTAAAGTAAAGTAGCACACCTGGACCAGTGACCAGCATCCACCCACGCAACAGCACGACGGCGTTCTAAATATATCTTGACTGTATACGTATACCGCTACCGGTTTTAAATCTCGTCATTACGCGGTAAGGCGGTGCACTGTCCTTTGGGAAATGAAAAGAGAAAAAAAAGAGTTTTTATTGCAGTCGAAAACTCTTTGCGGATAGTAAATAGCTTTTCTCAGATATTATGCAAAATACAAGGTCCCACCGAGATTTGAACTCGGATCGCTGGATTCAGAGTCCAGAGTGCTAACCATTACACCATGGGACCTTAGTGATTTCTGGTTAGGGATGATTCAGTTTGGGGTAAGAAATTTGTCTCTGTTTATTGTTACTACGTTACAGAAGAGATTTCAAAGCTTTTAAAACACTGATTAGTGATTGTCGCGAATAAAAATCGTATTGTAAAATTAATTTTAAAAAAATTAACAATTGTATCGTGCAATTGGTTAACCATTTTCGACTTTTACGAAATTCCCATATTTTCACAATTTTTCCTATTTTGCTTGCGCAATCACATCTACTCAAGTTCGTACTCCGTTCGCGTAGCGCAGAGCGTTATCGTTTTCCGGGGATTAGCCATGGCGGAAGTTTGCCGGAAGGAGATCCAAAAGGAATGCTTTTCGTTATGGGACTCTCGGACAGGATTATTCGTTGGATTAGCTGAATAGGTACGATAATCTTATCGCAAGGAACACTGTACAATTCACTCCGCCGTGATTACCAACTCGTATTAGAATTCCTTGAAGTTGTTGAATATGAAATTAGAAAAGGATTTAATATACAAAGCGATAACGTAACCTCCGATAAATAACGAATATTATCATCGGAATTACGAATAAATCCGTCATACATTCCTGTACGGTTTTCCTGATCACTTCTCTTTAAGTGTCTTTGCGAACGTGCTCAAAGAGCCGTGCTGTCTAGGTGTTATCATAATCTAGTGAAATTCGATCGCTCATAAATCTTATCAAGAGAAACAGTAACGATATATATCAACTTTACCTGGAAGTATAAAACGCGGAAAAATGGCATATCTGATTAAAAAAACAAAACAAAACAAAAATGAGTAACAAATAAACATAAAAAACAAACATTAAAATAACAAAACAAAACAAAAATGAGTAACAAATAAACATGACTTCCATCATTAGTGAATGGAGTAACGATAACGAGTATAATGGTGTTCATCGTCTTAGACAAAATGACGACAGTTGACCAAAGGTGTGTAATCTCCAAGTGCGATAGACGCTCGTAAAAATTGTAGCATGGATATTCATAGATGATTAGTCGACGGTGGTGCGCGATCGCGTGGCTTTGAGGATCCACCTGAAAGAAGGTTAAGATGTGGCAGCAAGTAGGCAGGGCCTTGTTACAACCCCGGGAAGTGCGTTCGGCGCAAACTACGCAGTTAGTCCTGAGCTGGTTTGTATTGGTGGGTGGCGAGAGTTGATCGCTACGTATGTCATACGCGCCTTCACCATGTATATATATATATATATATATATATATATATATATATATATATGTATATATACAAAACACGCATATATACAGTGGACTACTGCATCGGCCCATGCACGTGTGCAAGTGCGCAGTGCAGCGGTGACGGGCGAGCGGTTTTCTTTCTTTCTTTCTTTCTCTCTTCTCTTGGTTTTTTCTCTCTTATCTGTCTCTCTCTCTCTCTCTCTCTCTCTCTCTCTCTCTCTTGTGTGCAAAGGCGCGGACGAATGTGTGCGAGTCCACCAGCGGGATTACTACCCCATGAACGCCATTCGGCACACATTGCCATCTCTTCCTCTTACCAAAGCCATGCTCTCGTTGGGCGCCCCTCTCGGCGTGTATTTGCCGAGTGTTGCGCGCGCATACCCCCACTCCGTACCGCTAAAGGAGTAACATGGTGGGGGTCCCAAGCCGCCGGAATATGCAAGCCAACCAACGACACCCGAAAGCATAGAATCATTACCACAGCAGACCTCGAACAGAATAGACGTATTTTTCGTTGGCTAAGCTCTGTCGAGATCTCGTGCTCCTTCTATATCTGGCTGCCTTGACGTTAGTAATTCGCCGCCTCCTGTTGGACGTCCGTGCTCGACGTTCGACGTCCGAGAGTTTCTCTTATTCTTTTTTTTTTTCTTTTAATCGCCACGTTTCTCGCTCGTCCACGCGACATTTCACCGGGCGATATAGTAAACGCGGTTCAACAGAGACAGATACGACTCGTCGGCGTTATCGATAATTATCACACCGGACGGGACTCTCCTGCGTTTTTAGTGATTCGTACAAGAAGAACAACACCTCGACGGTCACTACTACTCGGAGTTCAGCAACCTGTGAAGATCTCGCGATACTCCGGAACTGGCCAAGGTGCTCGTAATCGAGTATCACAGGAGGAACTCGTGTGATAGCGTGTTCCTTGTATCGCCACGAAGCAGTCTTACCTAGGACTTCACGTCAGTCCCCTGGCGAAGGATTGGACGAGTCGCTCTTAAAATCGTTGAAGATCGGATCACCTATGGACATAGATCCATTCGAGGATCCACCCTACAGACGTTTCAGACGTCGTCCGCTTTGAAAGCCATAATAATTTTCAGTGTATTCACGGTGTGACAACCCGAACGTTTCCACGTGCAAACCAGCGTCTTCGTTGTCTTCGTCGAACCACGAGTGCATTTTTAACCACAAAACAGACGTATAAATATACACGCGTCTCGTGCAACGACGTTGGCTTTTCTGTCTCGACATGACTACTCTACGTCGATAAGATAACGAACTTTTTAACCTTCATCTCGTTGTCATCGTCTTGCTTGATATAATCGGTGTATCGCGAATCAGGACGCTTTTTCCCCACCCTCGATATCCCTCTCCCCTCTCCCCTCTACCGACAGGCGTACCTACAAAATAATTGTCAACGTATTTTAATCGGTTGAACTCGGCAGTACTAATTGGAGAGTGGCAGTGCACAGTTTGCTTTATCCGGGACGTTCGGTTGCAGAGTCGAATAACAAACTCTTAGTCGAAGATTCTGGTGACTGAAGAGTAAAAAGTATAAAAGAATACCAACATGGCAAGACCTTTTACATTGCCCTCTGAGGACGAGGCTGAGGAGCAGGGACAACAGCTGGAGCAACTCATGCTGGACTTGTATGCCGCTCTGCAACAGGTCCTTCGTAGCAGGAGGGCCGAGCATCCTTCACGAAACCGTGAGTAAATACTTCATATGTGTATTGTAATAAGATGGCGAGGATATTTTTCAAACGTCTATAGATATTGCGATTTCTTTTTTCTCGAGTCTCGTTAATTCTTTAGTTCGTATTTATGAGTGAAAAATTGATAGAATTATGATACGCGAAACGGGATTCGGAAGTGATTAGTAAATAGTGACTGGGATAGGCATTTGGTGGTTGGTTTTTTTTTAAATCGGGATTTGAACGCTTAACATGTTCGCGAAATTATAGGTTATGCAAATGTTGCTGACTGCCGTAACGTAGAGTGACTGAAGTCAGGTGTGCTTCGTTATGCTGGATCTTGTGGCTGTATTTGGGTTTAGGTGTATCTTTTTCTTTTACATAACTGTGAGAGAGATGGCGACTCGTTTCACTTTTTGATTAAGCTACAAAATTGGACTTCCTATTATCTATCGTTGCAGGAATGTCAATTTCTTTGAGAACAATTTGGACTTTTTCCTGACTCTTTGCCATTTCCTTGCGGTCGAACTTTAGTGCTTTTATTAACGAGCTTTTGGGTGATTGGTGGAATCGACGAGTGATTAAATTAATCGGTGCGTTCAAGCTATCTGTTGCGCGCGAAGAAAGAGGCATTTCTTGAATAACCAATTTATATATCATTTCTTTATCGCTCATTGTCAGTTAATTCAAGAACAAATACAGCACGTGGTTCGATCGCGAATCAAATCATACCTTCGTTGATTACAACCCAAAGAAATCCCATTTGATTGGGAAGCTAGGTAAAATAAAAAAATAGTACAAAATATGAAATTTCGAAAAGTCCTTCGCACGCAATGAATTCGTAAAACTGTCATTCTCTCGCGATTTTCTTCAACAAAAATACTGTAAAAACCCACATCGTAATGTGACGTGTGCCTTTTAAATCATGTAACTTTTTCCTCTATTACTCGTAATTCTGTGACAGAAACATTTCACAAGATTGCCCAATATCAACGAAAAGTGTCTTCGCGATAAGACACGCGACGGTCGTTGTCCCGTGAGTCACTTCTAAAAATTGTCATTTGCTCTATTCGGCTCGAGAAACTTACCTGTCTCGACTCGTATGCCATGTATATACATCGCGGTTACCGACGGACAAAAAATATTCAGTAAGCTGTCATCATCGTTAATCGGACGACTGCTCCAATCCTCAAAAGACTCCAAACAGTCGAAATTTCATAGCCACACAAAACCATAACTTCTTCATACATTCGAAACGTCAACTGATCAAATCTAATCGTCCCTCTCCAATCTCATTTTAATACAGCCTGAACTAAAATGCATTATCACTCACTCGCGCAACCGATCCCGCCTGCGTTTAATATAACATCGGGCTAAGGTACGCCAATCTTGCACGCAAGCACCAAGCATAGCTCGGTTGGTATTCGCGAAAGACGTAAAATACGATAATTTACATTCGCCGCGTAATAAAATGTAGTTTTACGAGAGTGCAGCGGCAAAGGGCATACAACAGATGTGTAGTGTGGGTGTACGGGGTAAGAGTATGGCAGACGATGTCCGGCCATGACCCTGCTGGCTGGTCGAGCCTCCTTCGGAGTGAGATGACCACCGGTCAGCCGCTGCTGCAGTGCTGCAGTAAAATTGCACTATAAAACACGAAGCCGCAAGTCCTACTGCGTCGTACCGAAATCTACCACACGAATGACTCGATGACTTGGTGACTCGGACTCGATGAGCTCTACCGTAAAACCTATATACCCGCCACTGCTTAGCAAAACTAAATTGCGCTGTTGTATTTCTTATGGGACCATCGCGTATATTGCACAAAGACCTTGCATGCACTTTGTCTGTTTTGTCTCGTAGGAATAATTGGTTTATTGGTAAAAACTAGTAAATTCCGTTAATTCAAAATTTTTTGGCCAATTTTCAATGCACCTTTCAATTATTGTATTATGCAATAATTTTACGTGGCACGGTATTACGTATCGAGGAAGTACAGTACGTGCACGGTATTTGAAGTGAAGGTGGGACATATAAATGTATATATATGACAGTTCGAATGGGTCGGTTTTACCCAATGAACTCGCGCGCCTCTGAAACTTTAACGAAAATAGTTTCTAGCGAGGGTCAATAACCATACTTGCTGGATTTGAGATGATTCAGAATTGCAGTGCGCGGTCGCGCTGTTGCATCAGATCGGGGGTAGTTATTTATAGAAACAGCTGTGCGCAGACCCGAGACTCGTAACATTTGTAGAAAACTTGTGTTTACGCCGATGTAAAAGAAGGAGTCTTGATAAGGATAGTTTTGCATGCGGGCGATCTCTCGTAAATCTCAATACCGATGAATTTCTTATCACTTGGCTCGGGGGGGGGGGGG